GAAGTTACAGGGCCAAATATAGCACGTTACATTTGAAATTGAAATTCGCCAGATTGGTTACGTTGCCTTTGGGACTTTATAGAAGCCCAGGAATGACATTTACCCCCATAATGGCATACCATTTGCAATAGTAGACAACCCAAGGTATTGCAAATGGGGTATGTCCAATCTTTTTTAGTAGCCATTTGGTCACAAACACTGGCCAAAGCTAGCGTTAGGATTTGTTTGTGTGAAAAATGCAAAAAATGCTGTGGCTACTAAAAAAGACTGGACATACCCCGTTTGCAATACCTTGGGTTGTCTACTATTGCACATGGTATGCCATCATAGGGATAATTTTCATTCTTGGGCTACCATAGGGTCTCAAAGGCACCGTAACCAATCTGGTGAATTTTAATGTGAAAAAAATGAAACGCAAGCCTTATATTTGACGCTGTAACTTTTGAAAACACCATAAAACCTGTACATGAGGGGTACTGTTGTAATCAGGAGACTTCGCTGAACACAAATATTTGTGTTTCAAAACAGCAAAAAGTATCACAGCAATAATATCATCCGTGTAAGTGCTGTTTGTGCATGAAAAATGCAAAAAACATCACTTTTACTGGTGATATCGTTGTAATACACTTTACTGTTTTGAAACACTAATATTTGTGTTCAGCGAAGTCTCCCGAGTAGAACAGTACCCCCCCATGTACAGGTTTTATGGTGTCTTGGAAAGTTATAGGGTTAAATATAGTGCTAGCAAATTAAATTCCCTTTACTTTCGGCATGGATTGTCAGGCAGGTCCCGCTAATTATAATTAAGATACCTAATTATGTAAAAATATTACATAAATATATATGTAGAATTAATATATGTATGTGAATATATATATATATATATATATATATATAATATATTTATTTTGATCTATATTAATATCACAATACAGTTACAACAAAATAAAACACATCTATACATTTTTTTTTTTAATTATTTTTTGAGAGAGAGAGATCTAAGTATGTATAATTTTTTTTACACTTAACTAATTTTATTTTAATGTGATTTCTAGCCAGCAGGGGGACCACCTGTCATTACAGGCAGCCCCCCTGCTGGCAATACAGAAGCCAGCTATACCAGCCATGTGATTGTGGGGTCTAGAGCCGCCTAAAATAGGGCGTAATTGTACGCCCTCCGGTCTTAAGGGGTTAACTTATGTATACTACTATGGAAACATGAGTCATTTTAAGCACCATAATCACTGTCCCACTATACATCAAGTGTATTGCTTTTTTAAAAATAAATTGTTTATTTTTGTAGACAAATTCATAGTTTTGGTGTAATATTGCCACTGGAATTGTAAGTATCTCACATTATCTACTTTGTTACAGAGTGGGGTTCAATTCATCGCTTCACCAGCAGGTTCTGCAGCTGACAAGATAGTAATTGATGCTTGTGACGAGTTGGGCATTGTTTTAGCACACACAAATCTCCGTCTGTTCCACCACTAACCTTTGAAATGTTTGTTCTTTGGGTTTTTTGTCCAGTACTTGCTAATGAAAATCCTTTTGTATGGTTGCAATTCACATTGTACAATAAACTTGGAAGGGCAACTGTTCATTTTGTGTGTACGTATGAAAGATCTTCAATAAGAGAAACTATGTTTACATATGGGTTAATCCAGCCTCTAGTGGCTCTCATTGACAGCCGCTCGAGGCACTTCTCACTGTGATTTTTCACAGTGAGACTCCAGCGTCCATAGGAAAGCATTGAGACTGCTTTCCTAAGGACGGACTGACTGTGTGCGTGGCTCTTACTGCACATGCGCATTCATCCGATGGCGTCCAGGAGGAGGGTATATGATTTAACCCATTCCTCTCCCTTCAGCCCTGCGGGAGGGGGGCCCATGAGCGTGGGGGACCTATTAATACTATAGTGGTCCTTTTAATCAAGAAAAGCTAGCTATCTTGATCCAGCCCGATGCCCTGATCCTGGGGCACAAATGGCAAGATTGTGTGGGATCATCATTTATCAGCTGATTATAGTATTTATTACAAATTGTTTTTTGTAACCATAGCATGTGGCACAATATGTTAAACATGAAGAGGTTTCCTCCAAACACTGACAAGTAGCTGAAACAGAAGCTCCACACCAGGATGAGGTGCTGGCACTTCAGTGCACTGATTGTATAAAAAAAATGTACATGCGGTCTACAGTCAATGAAGAAAGTACAGTCCCAGTCAAAGGAACTGAGCAGCTGGGAAAAACTGAAGGGCATAAGTGCATTGTAGAGTATCAAAGTTTGGGGCGAGGGGGGTCGCATTAGATTTGGCTGACCAATGTATACCACCTTCTCGGGTCAACAGATTAGGTACTGGTACAAAAAATTGTCTACTTAAAGGAACACTATAGGGGGGGTCTTACTCTTGAGTCATCTCTGAACACAAATACGTGTTTTACAGCAGTAAAACCTACTGATCATCCACAACATTAAAGGTTCACTATAGGGTCAGGTACATGTATTCCTGACCTTAAAGTGTTAAAACCACCATCTAGCCCCCGATCTATATAGATAGATATCTTACATCTTACTGTATTCAAGCTTGAAGCTGTAACTCTGCATGCTGTTTGCCTCAGGAAAAAAAAGCAATCCCCATAGGATTGGCTGAGACTGACAAAGAGGCAGATCAGGGGCAGAGCCAGCATGATTCAAACACAGCCCTGGCCAATCGGCATCTCCTCATCGAGATGACTTGAATCAATGAATCTCTGAGGAAGTTCAGTGTCTGCATGCAGAGGGAGGAGATACTGAATGTTTGGATGCATTTTAGGCAGGCATGACCCAGGAAGGATCTCTAACAGCTATCACTAGGCTGTAATGTAAACACTGCATTTTCTCTGAAAAGACCATGTTTACAGCAAAAAGAATGATTCTACTCACCAGAACAAATTCAATAAACTGTAGTTCTGGTGACTATAGGGTTCCTTTAAAACCACTTGCCTAAGTAAAATCCACAAATACCAGGACACAAGGTTTCCAGGCAAAATTATTGCCCAGAGCATCCTAAATTCTGCTACCATCTTTTTCCCCATAGGTGAAAAAGCTTCAATTTCCCCATTGTACAGTTCTGATGCTCATGTCAAAATAAATCCAAAAGTGTGAAAGAAAGCTATTACCAAACACTAGAGGGTGCTTAAATGGATAAAAAAAAATTTATATATATGTAGAAAGGCCATTAGGCCTGAATTTGTGGGAGGAGTAAGTCCCCTACTTAAACTCCCAGCCCCTACTCGCCGCTGCCGCTCAGCTGATTGTCCAGCTTCCCGCCAGAACTGTTCCTGTTTCCAGCAGACGTCCTGATCAATCCTCCGTCTGTTCGAGGTCCTTCCACTCGGTTTTTCCCCTAGTCGAGGTACCCGACTTCCAGTCACGAGACCGGCACGTTCACGTAAGCTAGGCGAAGGCCCCGCCGTTCGGGCCTAAAAATGTAGGGGTAGGCTCCCTTTATCGGATTTACACGAATACATGCTCTTTGTATAAAGTTTTTCTGTTCGCGCCAAAACGCACGAACATTCGGCTCATTTCACTATCGTTTTAAACATATTCGCACGGAAACTACCGAATCCATATATAAAGTATTACGCTCATTTTATTATCTGTATTCCCTTTTTCCGTTCGGTCACTCTGTACCAACCTATTTCGTACGGTTAATACACGAACACCATTTTACTAAACCATATTCGGCTATATTTCTATTCAAACAGGCTAAAGTATGCACAAGTTCAAATCACACGAATCCTACTACATTTTCGTATATTCCCTGTTCGGTCAGATAACTAATAATACCTACACATCAGTATGGGGTTATACTAATCTGGTTTAACTACCAGCCTTGTGTTTTCCTACCTATACTAACGTATTTTTTTACTGTAAAACTATTATAAACATACGGTTTTTCTTACACATTTTAACTAATAAACTTCACCCCTTCTTAACCATGGTACATACCTTCATACGTCACTAATACAAGTAATACCATTTTTCTAAAAACACACAGATATAAGTCATTAAACACTACGTGCCAGAAATACCCGTTACACCAACATCTGTACTATTCCTTTTCACATAATCACGCAGTCACATATTTTGGCTTTTACAGATTGCATCGGTTTCTTGCTTTTCTGCGCTAAAGTTATTTCAAGGTCTTTTATTACAGGAACAGGTATTGTATCTTATCACTTTGAGTTATCGGGTTTTATTACTTACCTTCACATCTGTCGCTAAATATGGAAATTTTCTTTGGTTAAACCCTTAGCTCCTGTATTATTCTAAGCTTCCACCGATTCTACGCAGTTAACCTGCCACGCTTAACGTAATCTCTGTACTTCAAACCAAGGTATAGTTCACTCTCTTTTCCATACTAGACCTCACGCGGTCTCAATTTCATTACTACCTTCCCTCAGGCTTACGCCCACGATACGTTATCTCTTTACTATTTGTCTACACAGACATTCGGTCGTACGGCCATCAGGCTCTGAAAACACCAAAACCTGACCCGGTACTCAGCCATACCTTCAGGTACTTACGTCCTTACTCAAGTACGTCCATTCGCCAGCCCAAGGCCTCATTCTGCCTTCTCACAAATATCTAAAATCATCCCATTCTTACACCTAACCTTCCAGATCCCTCAACGCAGGATCTCACGTTGCGCCCCTAACAAACCAACTCCCAATACTAATCATACGACATCACGATACGCATAAATACATCAACACCTGTCTTAAATCCTCAGGATTCTTCCTCAAGGACAGCAATAAGACAAGACTCTCTACACTTATTACCACCAGGAGGCTCCAGATACCATTTGCGACCAGTCAAGGTTAGTATCCACACACCACTCCAGTTCTCTCACTTTACCCTTAAGCATACAATCGAACTGGCTACATGGCCCAGGCTAATGCCTTAGCCCACCCTATCAGGAAATCCGATCCCGCGAGGCCTCCCACCCCACCTCACCACGGAGGTACGGACCCACGCCCAAATCATAGTTATAAGCCTTGCATGCCCTACTACAGGGCTCTAGTTAGGGCCTCACCTGTCACGGCCACACGTTTTGATTTCTCTTTACCGTCACCACGTCTGTGGCAGCTACGTCATAAGCCAAATCATAGGTAGAGCCTCTCACCGCCACTTGGCATTAGCAGGGCCTCACCTATCCAGTCATTCAACAGTTAAGTTTTTCGCTTCGGCATCTAGCATTGCAGTCCAGTTCTTCCAGATACACCACCCCTCATACCCCTCCTACTTACCTCACTCCCCCTTTAATATATCTTTCACATAATCATTCCTTTCTAGAATGTCCCAAGAACCAATTCCAACCGAAGAATTGACAGAAGAAACACCATTCACGCCAATCAGACCCGGGTCTCCAGGCGAATCACTCTCTTTCAACCACCACGTCCTTGAGAGCATGGATTATTCCCAAAATCACGGCCGAGCTTAGGCTCAGGGGAATCCCCTTTCCGGCCACAGCTAGAAAGGCAGGACTTTATAGGCTCCTTACCCACCAAGGCCCCGAGCCTAGGCCTGGAACTAGCTCTCAAGGACAACCACCAAGATACAGCACGGCCACCCAGGATACCCTGGCAGATATCTTGGCCAACCTACAGACCCTCAATAGCAGACTATCTAAGGTGGAGAGCGCCATCTCCTCCTCAGGTACTATCACCGAAGTCCCAGTCTTTACAACGGCTGTACCCGCTATACCAACATGCCTCCCCCCTCCAGCACCTGGCACAGCCATTACACCATTCGAGTCACCAGCACACTCCGTCCCAGACTATCAGGAAAGATATCCTAGACGGGAAGGACGTGTGTCTGGTGTCTTTGCTCATAGCCTCTCAGGAGATACTCGAGAACAAGGCATACAACTATGGTGACATTTCAGTTGTGCTCAAAACGAGGGATCCCAGGCTCAATAAAAAATGGTCTATCCCCCAGTTCGTGATAGCTTTCGGGATATACCGCGACGTCATTTGCACGGTGTATCCCCACAGGAGAGAAGAGCTAGATCTCTATCTTCACAAGGTAGTGGATCTAGGCATCAAGTATGGGGGCTCTTCCTTCTATGACTATCACAAGTCAGTTTCAGCGAAGGCGGCAACCCATCTCAAGCAGTTCAACATAAGAATAAACTGGGGTCAGATGGACACAGAACTTTTCTGTCGCCACTTCGCTGGACTCAGGCCCCCAGCTTGTGCCATTTGTAATTCGACATCCCACATGGTGGACTTATGTCCTGTCGAATCAGATCCCACCACCTCCACTCTCACCCCACGTTCACACCTCACTCTACTTTCACCCTTCACAACAAACCAGCGGGTGGTCTTCAGGATAAGCTGGGTAGGCCCATCTCCTTTTTAGGTAAGGCGCAGGTGTGCAATAACTTCAACGCAGGCTCCTGCAGTTTCAGCGCCTGTAGATTATTGCACATCTGCTCCATATGTTTCAGGGCACATACCAAGACCATGTGTCCAGCCAGGTTGTCACCAAACAAATGACTAACCGACATAAATATCGACAACCTGTTTTTTTTATCTAAGGTCTCACCCTAGCAGGCACTTGGTAGAATATCTCACCACAGGATTCTCACAAGGGTTTCACATGGGCATAGTAGCCATTCCCCCAGGTACACTAGAATGTCCTAATCTCCAGTCAGCACGTTTAGACCCAGTCGCCATAGACACTCTCATTTCCTCAGAAACCACCAACGGTTTCATGATCGGACCCTTCACCTCTTCACTGTTTTCCTCCTGGCGCACTAACCCTATTGGTATTGCTATTCACAAATATTCTAATAAAAAAAACGTCTAATTATCGATTTATCGGCACCACACTCCTCTTTTGTTCCAAGCATAAACGCACTCATTCCAGCAGACGAATTCTCACTTCAGTATGTAACCATCGACGACGCCATACAGTCCATCATATCATCTGGTAATCGACCCTGGCTCAGCAAAACAGACATCACAAACGCGTTTAAATTACTTCCCATGCACCCCTCACTCTGGCACTTACACGGTGTTAAATGGCGAGGGAATTATTACTTCTCAACACGACTCACTTTTGGTTCTCGAAGCAGCCCCAAACTTATTGACACTTTCGCAGAGTCACTATGCTGGCTGCTTCTGAACGTCATCAGGTGTCACTCCATTATTCACTACCTAGATGACTTTTTACTGATAGAGCCAGGGTCATCAACACCCTCAGCAATCAAAAGTACTACCGCACTATTTTCCACACTTGGAGTCCCTTTGTCCCCAGCTAAAACTATAGGCCCCACAACAAAATTGACCTTTTTAGAGATAGAGCTCGACTCTGTCAAACTCAGAGCTAGCCTTCCCCACGACAAACTGTCACGATTGAGAGGGGAGATAGACATGTTCCTGCGGAATGATGTTTGCACCAGGAGAGAACTTCAGTCCCTTCTTGGATCTCTGAACTTCCCCATGCGCCTCATTCCGCAGGGAAGGACTTTCATATCCAGACTTCTTTGCCTGCTCCACGGAGTCCCGGACTCCGGCACAGTTTCTTTGGACCCCCACGCCAAGGCTGACTTACCTATGTGGAGGAAGTTTTTTTTGGAAGACTGGAATGGTATCTCCATGTTTATCCCCCCTCTCTCCACCTCTTCACCCAACACCGGTTTCGCAGCCATTTTTGGGAACCACTGGTTTAGGGGCCACTAGCCCACCGAGACGGATGCCTTGCCAGGATTCAGGGAGACCTCAGCCCTATTTGAAATTTACCCCATTGTGCCGGCCGCACACACCTGGGGTCATCTCTGGTCCGGCAAGGCAGTAAAATGCTACTCAGATAACGCGGCGGCTTGCGAAATCGTTAACAAAGGGCGCTCATCATCCCTGACCATCATGCGGCTGATTCGCAAGCTGACCTGGCTGGCAGCATCCAGTCAGTTTCACTTAGTATGTTTTCACATCCCGGGTATTCACAACACGGTCGCTGACGCTCTTTCTCGTTCTCAATTCCAGGCATTTTCTCAGGCACTCCCATCGGCTCACCAACAGCCATCCAGGACACCACGGTTTCACGAACTAATCTTGGATTAAGCACACTCTTGCATCACGCTAGATCACTCACTCACCAAGCATTATCACCCAACACTGCTATCACTTACAATAGGGCACTTAACATATTTAACAAATTCACTGCAGAATTCGGCCTACAAGGTGACTTTTCTATTCAAACCATGTTGACTTTTGCCTCTTTCTGCCACCTACACCTTAAACTGTCGCACAACACCATTAAACTTTACCTCACTGGGGTTCAGCACCACAGCCTCACCAATTTTCCTAACGGCAATCCTTTTTTGTCATCTTACCCCATTAAAAAGGTCTTGAAAGGTATATCAAAGGTTTCACCTCCACTCACAAGCACTAGATTACCTATAGACGGGCCTATCTTCAGGTCACTTAGCAATCTCCTTGACACAGCCCCATTCGATAGCAACACCAATACGGTGATCAAATCTGCTATATATCTCGCTTTCTATGGTTTTCTTAGACCTAGAGAGTTCACCGTGGTTTGTCAAGGAGATATCACGCTAAGCCTTAAAACTTCACACCTCACTAAGATAGAGGATCACTACCTACTTTCTATCCCTACAACTAAAACCAACCGGTCACTACACCCTACAATAATTCCTCTCTTCCCTACTGATAATGCCTGGTGTCCGGTAAAAGTTCTAGACCAACTACGGTCAACTCTTCACGCTCACCTACCAGACTCTCCGCTCTTAACATTACAAGGGCACCCGCTTACCACGGCAAAATTGATGTTACATGTCAGAACCCTGTTATCTAAGCTCGGACACAACCCGGCTGCATTCTCCGGGCACTCCTTCCGTATAGGAGCCGCCTCAGCAGCCTCTAGCACAAACGCACCGGTCCACATCATCAAAAGACTGGGGCGATGGAAATCCTCCATATATAATGCATATATTCCACAACCGGAGAAAGAGCTTCGCCAAGCTTTCAGGAACTTGGTCTTGTAAAATGCAATAAAGTGTGTATTTTCTCGAATTTATCTTTTGCCCTCTTTTATTTACAGGCCCACTCGTACGTTGGTTTCGGCACACCACAGCCAACTTTGCTCACAGATACTATCCATTACGTATTTAAATTCCGAGCACAAGTAGAAAGGCCATTAGGCCTGAATTTGTGGGAGGAGTAAGTCCCCTACTTAAACTCCCAGCCCCTACTCACCGCTGCCGCTCAGCTGATTGTCCAGCTTCCCGCCAGAACTGTTCCTGTTTCCAGCAGACGTCCTGATCAATCCTCCGTCTGTTCGAGGTCCTTCCACTCGGTTTTTCCCCTAGTCGAGGTACCCGACTTCCAGTCACGAGACCGGCACGTTCACGTAAGCTAGGCGAAGGCCCCGCCGTTCGGGCCTAAAAATGTAGGGGTAGGCTCCCTTTATCGGATTTACACGAATACATGCTCTTTGTATAAAGTTTTTCTGTTCGCGCCAAAACGCACGAACATTCGGCTCATTTCACTATCGTTTTAAACATATTCGCACGGAAACTACCGAATCCATATATAAAGTATTACGCTCATTTTATTATCTGTATTCCCTTTTTCCGTTCGGTCACTCTGTACCAACCTATTTCGTACGGTTAATACACGAACACCATTTTACTAAACCATATTCGGCTATATTTCTATTCAAACAGGCTAAAGTATGCACAAGTTCAAATCACACGAATCCTACTACATTTTCGTATATTCCCTGTTCGGTCAGATAACTAATAATACCTACACATCAGTATGGGGTTATACTAATCTGGTTTAACTACCAGCCTTGTGTTTTCCTACCTATACTAACGTATTTTTTTACTGTAAAACTATTATAAACATACGGTTTTTCTTACACATTTTAACTAATAAACTTCACCCCTTCTTAACCATGGTACATACCTTCATACGTCACTAATACAAGTAATACCATTTTTCTAAAAACACACAGATATAAGTCATTAAACACTACGTGCCAGAAATACCCGTTACACCAACATCTGTACTATTCCTTTTCACATAATCACGCAGTCACATATTTTGGCTTTTACAGATTGCATCGGTTTCTTGCTTTTCTGCGCTAAAGTTATTTCAAGGTCTTTTATTACAGGAACAGGTATTGTATCTTATCACTTTGAG